AAGCAAAATTGTTGCTTGAACGAAAAAGCGCTCCATGCAGTATGGTGGCGAGGGAGAGAGGGGATGACAAGCAGCAGCGCCTCAAGAGCCGCAGGACAGTGCAGGCATTGGTCGGCGGAGCCGCCGAAAATGGCCCTGCACCCGAAGCGGCAGCACTGACCTTCCTGTCTGAAGCGTCTCGAGACCGGCCACGCATTGCATGCACGCTCGATCAAAGAAGTGGCGGCAAACGGGCCAGCTTCCTGCCTCAATATTCTGATATGCATGGACATGTGAACACTGGCCGCCTCAGTCGCATCAGGCCAGAAGTACAGAACATGCGGGTGAAACAAAAGCATGACCAGCACAAGGCCCCGACGCTTTCGCAACAACAGGTACATTTTTTGCGCACGTCGTGTTCAGCAGAATCATAGAGATGCGGCGCAAGGCTAGGCAACTCAAGCTGCACCCACCCTGAGCCATGTCCTAGCCACAGAATCGGCATCGCACTATCTATCTGAATCCCGGGGCCATGAGAAAATCATAATCGCATTCCGCGATATGGCGGAAGCGGTCGGCAATGCTGGGGAAGTCCGCGCTGCGGACGGCACGCCGAAAGATGGCCGCTCTGTTCTCAATCATGGTGTCTCTGGGCACCGCGTCAAAACCAAGCGCGATGTTCTTCCTGCAGCGCCGTCTGAATAGAATGGTGCGGCACCGACGTCAGTCTCTGCAACGCGGTGCGTGTTCGGAGTTGGCCACTCGGCAGTCCGCCCTGTGGAACTGGCTGAGTAGGACAGCACAGGGTGGGCCAGCATTTTGCAGGCACGGATGCACTGCACAATGAAAATCTGCAGAGCGCTGACATCCAAGACACGCTCCAACAGCTTGCGGCAAGGAACACGCCAAGACACATCCCGTCTGCCGGGGCCGAGGTACACGCCCGAGCACGTAATGTTCTGACTGACCTGCACACCAGCAATTTCAACATTACAATCGCGAAAATATTGCACCACCGACGCCAGATCCATCTCTTTAGCATTTGCCCGCGCGCAGACACAGCCCAGTCACGACGCGCGCATCATTCATCCATTAAGAATCACTGGAATGGGAAGGCGCAGACCTCCCGATGCAACGCCGACGTCGTCCGTGCATGCGAGGGGTTTCGCGGGGCGCGGGGGCAGACGCCGCTGAAGACCGCCCGCGACGGAGTCGACTACAATGACAGAAACGAGTGCAGAGAGGAGGGCACCCTTGTTGCAGGCCTCCAACAAGTGTAATGTCGACGCAAATGTCAGAATGGAACAGCTCCACGGCCTGAACAATGTGCCAAAATACACCCATCCCCACCAGGGCGCTGATGGTCCAGGGGCGTAGAATACTCGGAAACGCTACGGCGATGTCCAGGAACAGCACGGCGCGGAACTCGAGGCCACGGAAGCAGGCCCACTCCACGACCTAAGACTCCAAGTCAACCACGTGGTCGATTAGATGTCGTTGTTTGATGAACCCGCGCAGGCAGGGGCGACGGAGTGCCTGGCCTGGATCTGGAAGGGGTCGGGCAACGCCGAGGACCTCAATCCCTTCCCAGCGTTGCTCAGGGTCCAGGGCCCCCGTCGGACGAGCTCCTGAAACAGTCCTGGGGCGAGAACCGCCGAGGTCAACCCTTGGGCGGGAAAGCAAGCAGGCCGCCGTTGAACCCTGAAGGCAGAGGGCGGCGTTCCAGCGCAGCGCGGCAGCCCCTATACAAAGCAGACATGGCATGCCCCCCCCCTCCGATTCCACCCGCTACGACGCGCCCGCCCTGGCCCCGCAGCCGCGCCCGTGCGGGAGATCACGATCGAGGAGAACGCGTGCAACATCAACCCCCACTGGACCCCAGGAGAGACAGGTTGGAGCTCACCACCTGGGGTAGCAATCGCAGCAGGAACAGGCACAGGGAGCCTACTAGGACACCGGTGTCTTGCGCCCCAGAACTGAAAAAAGATCGCGGGCACTCGGTACATTGCTAACGGGCGTCTCGCCCCTGGAGTCCCCGACGACAAAAATAGCTAGCCTGCGTAGCTCCACCGACCACGATCGACGCAGAGCTAGAAACCGAGCGCGACGCGCTTCATCGACACGTCCCAGCGCTGTAACAAGTCCTTTGAGCGCGCGCAGATTGATGTGGAAGCCCGAGTAGCCCGTGGACCCCAAATCGTCGAAGCTACAGCATTGACTAAGGGTAGGCAGGGCATGCTTGCAGAGAAGCAGAGCGAAACAATTCCCGACGCGAAGGCGCGTAGAAGGAAAAGACAGGATGCATTTGTGTTCGCTACCAGCGCGGGGGCCAAAGCAGGGCACATCTGCTGAGCGAGCTCGCCCTCGGCAGCAAACGCGGCGGCCTTGCACTCCAGCGAGGCCTCGAAAGGATCTCTACTGAGCCCAACGTCCTGAAGAATCGTTTCCACAGTCGAACCGAACTTGGGATGCTCCGTGACCTAGCGAGGGAGAGCGGGAAGCGACGGAAGGCGAGTGTTCGCCTACGCGAGAATCGGCCCGCGGTCAGAACGCCCCGCCCGGTTGTGGGCCAGCCCGATTGGGCCCAACACGCGCCTTCCAGCCGAGGACTGCCGCCGCGGGGGCCGACCAGCAGCTGCGACCAACTCGACAGACACTGCGCACAACGTCGCACACATCACAGCGCAGCGCGCGGCCCCGGCCCGAAGGACCTCGACGAACTCCCCGAACGGGTCGGCAAGCTTACTGGACAAGTGGGCGCCTTCACGCGGGAGGGAAGCGCCGCCGTCGACCACCGCCGAAACCCTTCGGCCCCAGGAAAGATCTGGCCGCCAGCGAGACGAGCAAGGCCGGCAACCACCGCGGGAACAGGGCGCCTCCGACGACCGAGGACTCTGTGGGCAACGCGGATGCTTATCCCAGGAACAATATGAACAGTGGCCAAACCGACGCACCCAGATTCACCGAATAGCTCGCAAGCCAGAACACATCCCCGAGCCACCTCCAGAATCCGAGCTGCCCGGAACTGCTTCGGAAAGGCCCTCGAGATAGAGATGATCACGCCGCCAGCAGAGGGGGAGAGCAGAAGGTACCGAAATGAACGTGAGAGCAGAAGCCGCGACGAAGGGCAATCAAATCCTCGAACGTCCTGTGAATTTCCTGCGTGCTTTTGATCTGGTAGCGCTCGATCACCAACCGAAGCTTCCTACGCTAAGCAAAAGCACTGCCTGGCAACGCTTTCGTGTTCCACCAGGCCAACCCGAACGAATGGATGACATTCAAAGGGGGGCGATCAGCACTGTGAATTGGGGCATCACTGATGGAATATACAATCGAGAAGCGAGAGGAGGAAGGGGAAGGACGAGGAGGATGGGGGAGAGGCTGCAGCACACGCCTGGCCTTCACTGGACGAGCCCCCCCCGCTGCGCCCCAGGCTGGACGATCACTGTAGACCGAACCCTGCGTAGCAGGCCCAACTGGCGCCAGCTCCTGCCTGACGATTTCAGAACCGCTTGGGGACCAGCGAAGTCACGCGCTCGACGATGTTGTCGATACACTGACTCTCGAGGCGGATGGTCTCCATGTCGAAAAGAGGGGTGGGAACAACGGTGCCAAGCTCGCTCTCGTGCTCGGTGACCTTGGCCAGGTCCCAAACTTCCTCGTTGGCAGAGATGGACAGGTGGAGAGAGCCAAAGAACGGGTTGGATCCAAGCTACATCGAAAGCTTCTTAGTCTTCAGCTCGACGATGACAATCTGCCTTCACTGCCCCAGAGCAAAATCCCCGTGACAAATGGTCCCAGCCTGTGCGCAGCAAGATATCGACCTCGGGCCAATCCATGTGCGAAGCTTCGGGTCGGCACGGGCGGCAGCATGGAACATCTGCGCGTCCTCGTCGTCGAACTGAACGTTGCAACTGCACTTGCAGTCCTGGGGCTGCAAACGACACGTGAACGCACATTCAGGAGCCATGTTCGTCTTGACCACAAAGAAATGATTCTGGGACGTGGACATCATGAGCTTCCTGGGGAAGCCGCGAATCCACATCTTCTGGTTGCCGCGATGGTCATCATCAGCAGAATGCGGGCGCGCGCGGGGCTGCGCACGCGCACGGGATCCCCAAGATGACCAAGGATCGCTGGGGGACGAACCGTTACTGGAGGCAGCCGTGGACTCCATCTTCGACTCGAGCGGGGCCACACGAGCCGCGAGAGTGGACGATCAGCTTCTCCATATTCGACATCAGCACTGCCGTGGCCGTCGTCGTACAAAAAAGAGCGAGTGGCAGAAGCTTCCTGCACAGCCGCAATTAGGGCAGCCCATCAGTCCGCATCAGAACGAAGATCACGCACCAGATCTAGGCGCTTGACCGCAATCATGTTGCCCGACAACATGTTGCCGAGCTGCTTCATGCCAAGCTGAAGAGGCCGGAACATATCGGCGAGGAGCAATCGCGTGGACTCCTGATCCAGTGCCTTCTGGTGCACAGGAAAACGGAAGTAAACAATGACCGCGGACCAAGTGATGCGGTGCAGAAGGGTGTGAGGATCCCGAGAGCAGGCGATGGGTTTAAAGCGCGAGGTGAGGTGTGGAGGTAGCAAGGGGGGGGGAGGAAGTGTGGTAAGTAGATAGATCCCATGGGCAGGAAGTACCATTGGGCGTGGGCAGGTCGGTGCAGAACATATTTTGCTGCCGCGCGAGGGCTCGCAGCAAGGATCGTGTCTGTGTAGGTCGCTGTCGGCCAGGGACCCTAAGCCAGGCCTCACGGCTGCGACCAGGCTCTAACCGCCGAGGTCCCGCGGTCAGAACGTGAACCAAAATGGCTACGGAGGATGAGGAGGGCGGGAAGGAGAGTGCGGAGGAGGAGGATGAGGAGGAGGTGGAAGAGGTGGAGGAGGATGTGGAGAGGGAGGAGGAGGTGGAGGAGGACGGGCTCCTCCCCCGCCGCGTCCGTGGCGGGCCCGAGCCAGGCATCGCCCGCGGCGGCGCTCGACAGCAGCAGCGCCGCGGCGGCCCGCTCAACGTCGAGGCCGCTCACGCGAAGCGCGGCCTCGGCGTCCGCGCTGGAGAAGCCCAGCTCCTGGAGGGCCTGGACCTTGCCAGACGCCACCACCACCTGGGCGACTCTCGAGTGCGAGTTGGGCCCCCGACGCGGGCACAAACCACCAAATGTTTGTCGATCCCCAACAACAGACGTCGTCCAAAGCCGACAGCGGCCGCTGTCGGGCAGGTGGCCTCCTGTCTCACCTGGACGGCGTCTACGGCGACCACCTTGCGAGCATCGACCTTCCCAGACGCCACCACCACCTGGCCGACTCCGCAGGAAGAAAAACAAACATGCTCTCTCTCTCACACACGCTATTGGTAGCACGCACAAGGGGGTAGGGTGAGGGGGAACAACTTCTTAGAAGGCGGCTGCTTCTTAGAAGGCGCTGGCCCAAATTACCTCTGAAGACAAGGCCCGCGCCTAATGAGAAGCAGGGGTCCCTTTAGAAGCCTTCCCCCCTCCCCCTACCCCCCTCTGCGCGTGGCTGACACCAGGGAGGAGGATTGGGGAAGGGCAGGGAGATGCCGGCGCTGTAGGGAGCTCCGCCCCCGCGAGCCCTCTTCGCCGGCTCCACGCCGGAGGCGGGACAGGCGCGCCGAGGAGGCGAGGCACCCACCCTGGAGCGCCCAAGGACCTGCTGCTCGGCCGCAGCGCCGAGGTCCCCCTCGGCGATCATGCGCTGCAGCGGTCGCGACGGCGCCATGGTGTCTGGGTCCGTGATCGTCTGCCACATGCCCTGCTTCTGCATGCTGTCGGGGTAGAAGAATATCACGAAGGTGATGCGGCCTTCCTCGATTTCTGGCATCACCGGTACGCCGTGCCGCTGTGTGCCAAAGATGACGAGGTCGCCGTCCTGCATCAGCAGCGGGGTGTTGTCGATGGTCAGGATGCGCTCGCAGCCGAAGCTGAACAGCGCCGTCCAGCAATCGTGGCGATGGCTCAGGGCCCCGCAAACGGGGACTTGCGTAGACCAGGACATTGGCCCGCCCAAAAGAGAACTGCAGCCTTGAACCGAAAAATTCGCCACTCTTCGTTCCATCCGGCTGGCTCTGGTAAAGTCCTGGTTTGCAAAATCCTGTTTTCCAAGGCCCTGAATGGCTACCAAGGTAGCCCTTCCCGTCTGGGTACCAATTTGTCAGCACCCCCGACGTGCGATCGGCGATGCCGTACTCCGCGAAGAGCTTCTGCAGACACTTGTCCATCCCAGCCGACATTCCCTGCTTGTACCGCCCGGCCTGGTGGCCCTCCCACTTGATATTGCCACGTTGGTCGTATTTGAGGTGGAAAGCGCCGGTGGCGAAGTCGCGAGTGCGGGCGTTGGTGGCCTTCCACTCCGTATTCTGAAGGATGTCGTCGTAGATGGACGGGTCGGACGAGAGATGGAGTAGAGCGCATTTCCATTCGCGGCCATCACGGGCGTTATTGCGGAAAAGGCGGGGGGAAAGCATAACGTAACGCCCCCCACCCCGCTGTATGGTTCCGGCCCGGCACCACAGCGCCTGTGTGCATCACAGCAAGCAGTAGTGTGCAGCACAATATGCACCGCCGCAGCCGCGTGCACCACATTGTACTGCGCAGTGCGTACGTGCAGCACCACAATCTTTGTCCCCCCCACACACCCTCACTCGAACATTGTTCTGTGCTGGTGTTTGCTGGACGACGAGGGCGCCCGAGCGCCGGACGACGACGACGACAACGATAACGACGACGACCAGGACAAGGACGAGGACGAGGACGATGACGGGGACGGGGACCACAACGATGAGGACAAGGATGACGAGGATGACGAGGAGGACCAGGACGAGGACGACGACGACGAGGACAAGGACGACGACGACGAATACGACGACGGCGACGACGACGACGACGGACGCCTCTGAAGTGAAGATCTCCAGAGGTTTCCAGAGACCTACGGAAGTTTCCGGAGGCCTCTGGAGGCGTCTGGAGGTCCTTCCAGACTCTAGGCAACGACGACGAGAACGAGAACGACGAAGACGAGGACGAGGACGAGAATGAGGACGACGACGACGACAGGGACGAGACGAGGACAGGGATGAGGACGAGGACGACGATGACGACGACAATGACGAGGACAAGGACGAGGATGAAGACGACGACGAGGACGAGGACGAGGACGACGGCCGCCTCTGAAGGTCTCCTCGGAGGCGAGGTCTCTGGAGACCTCTGGAGGCGTCTGGAGGCCATTCGAAGCCATCGACGACGACAACGACAACGACGACGAGGACGAGGACGGAGACGACGACGACAATGAGGACGACGACAACGACGACGACGACGAGAACGACGACGACGAGGACGAGGACGGGGACGAGAACGAGGACGACGAGGACGACTACGACGACGACTAGGACGACGACGACGACGACGGCGACGACGGCGACGACGACGACGTCCACCTCTGGAGGAGTCTGGAGACCCTTCGAGGCCATCCGCGGACGACGACAACACGGACGAGGACCGAGGACGAGGACGACGACGACTAAAGCGACGACCACGACGAAGACACGCCTACGACGACGATGGCAACAACGACGACAACGACGACGACGATGACGACGACTCCAGCGACCTCGACGACGACGATGACGACGACGACGACAACGACGACGACCGAGATAACGACGATAACGACGACGACGATTGCGACGACGACGACGTCGACGACGAGGAAGGGGGCGAGGACGGGGACGACGAAGACGACGACGACGACGACGACGACGACGACGACGACTACGACGTCGACGACGACTACGACGACTACTACAACGACGACGACGATGAGTACGACGACGACGACGACGACGACGACGACGACGACGACGACGGCCGCCGCCTCTGAAGGTCCGCAGATGTCTCCCGAACTCTCTGGAGATCTCCGGAGGTCTCTGGCAGCGTCTACAGTCCCTGTGAGGCCCTGTAACACGACGACGAACGTTGAATGAGCCTGCAAGCACCACAGCAGCCTGCGAGCATCACAATGGCAGCGCCGGAGGCGCACTACGGGGGGGAGCGGGGGGGAGCGTTACATGATGTCGGGGGGAAGAGGGGGGCATTACGCGCTTCATGGTCCAGAGGGTTAAACAAAAAAACACGCTCGTAGTAAACGGGGGCGCTTGCGAAACAGCTCCCGCAGCTGGCTTTCCCAGCGCCGGGATCGGCCGTGCATCGAAGAACGCACACCGGAACCAGCTGCGTTTTCTCTACAGCAGACAAAAACGATAAGAAATTGTGCTACAAAAATATTGGGGCACATTCTTCGCCGATCTTTGAGGGACCTGAGGTGCCCCACAACTTCTGTGGGTCCCTGGTGCCATTGGATCGTCGGAAACTTCCGTGGTGCACCTGCTGGTAATCCGAATTCTCATTCATGTGAATCACCTACTGTACCCCCCTGTCGTCGGACCCGAGATGGAAGCGTCCTGGGCATAGTTTCTTCGAACCTCCACGTCTCGCCACCAGGTCGCGGTGTCCGACGCAGACTGGTCGAGAAGCTGGGCGCTGCTGGTGGCACCGACGCCCGACTGCTTGGCGCCCATATCCTTGGTCAGGTACTCGTGAACGCCCCATGGCCTCGGCACTTCTTGCTGCTCCTTTGAGGGGCGCCGATGAGGGGGGGACCTGCTCAGGGTGGTCGGGGGGTGTGGAAGAAACATCGACCCGGAATCGGCTATGCATCGCCGATAGATAGGCGACAGGCCCCCAATAGCGAAACCGCATGGTCCTGGGCGGGGTGGACTATCGGGCCCCTGTCGGCGATGCATGGGCAGTGGGGGTTCGATACGTTTTCCCCTGATCCTGGACATAACTATCCCCCCCGAAGTTGCCCCATGGCTCCTTCTGCCACCACTTCGCCACAAATTTCTCCGATCTCCCCAGGGACCTGGCGATGTCCGCCTTCGGTATCCCCTGCGCCCGGAGGTGGATGGCGCGGAGCCGGTCCTGGTACTCCTTGTGGCCCTGGGAGGAGTTCTGCTGGAACTTCCCCTCGCACTTGAAATGGGCCTCATCGAACTCCGTGACCTCTTCCTTGCCCCAGAACTGCGACCACCTGTGCGTCCGGTGAAGTTCAAGGAAAACCGCTCCGGACGGTCCCCGAAAAAGGGGAATCCTCAGCCTCAAGCTGGGTTCCTCAACGCCCACCTTGGGCTAAACCTGCACACTGCTTGGAGCAGGGCGAGTCGAGACAACGGCAGCGCAACATCGGTCCCCAGACCCCTCCCGCGTCCAAACGCACCAGTTTGCCGAGCTGCGCCCAGCCGCGGCGACGAGGGGGACTCCCGAAGGCCAACTACCGTTGTCGCAACTCACCCTCCACTGATCCACGCATTCCCGATCCTTGCCCCAGAACTGCGACCACCTGTACGTACGCACCACCTCGCCGCGCTCCGGCGCCGGCGCCGGCGCACCCCCCGCGGCGCTGCGGGCCTGGGGCCGGAAGCCGCGGCGGCCGACCCCCATGGCCTCGTCCAGCCGCGGGAGGGGCGGCATCTTGGCGGGGGCGCCGCGGCGGTCGGCCGCGGAGGGGGGGCCAGGAGGGCGCCAACTACACACACGCGGCCAGGCACATCCTGGGCCCAGGATCGGCGCAAATGCCCTCCTCGCTTGGCCAGGAAGCATATGCACTGATCCTGGGCACAGGAAGGGCCTGGTCAGGGTCAGCGCATGCGCTTCGTTGGCGCCCTCGTGGGCGGCTCTCTGGGGCTGCCACCTGGCCGCCGCCCCGCGGGGCGGGAGCGCGCACGCGCGCCTGGCGGCGGCCCGCGGGCGCCCTGAGCCAGGCAGGGCGGAGCCAGCTCGGACGTCTCTACCAAAGCCTCGGGGAGGCGCCCGCGGTGGGGGGCCCTCTGCGAGAGCAGCCAGCGAGGGCCTGCGAGGATGCCCGGAGGACCGCCTGCGAACTCCCCGCGGGGCTGCCCTGATCCCTCTCCCCCGCTGCAGGGGGGAGAACGATGGGGGGGGGGGCGAGTGGGGACTCTGCTCTCCTTCTGGCGGCCAGGACCGCAGGCACGAACGCGACGCGCAAAGGACACGCTTACTCGGGAGGAGGTCAGGAAAGGACGAGAAGCAAATGGGGGGATGTCAGAGAGACGAAGAAGGAGGAATGAGGAGACAAGACAAGGAGAAGGAGGAGCGAACGACGAGCTGAGGGAGGCGCTCGTCTCTTGTCATCAGCGCCTTCGCGGCCCCGCGCCGCCGACGAGGCGCGGAGGGGGCCTCAGGGCACGGCGAGGAGGCGGCGACGGCCGCTGCGTTCTTGTAGGAGTCCGTCTGAAGGAGGGGCACCCTGAAATCGATGGCGGAGTTCGGGTGGTCCTCATCATAGGGGTGGATCCCCGTGCAGTGGTAGATCGTGTTCGGCAGCCCGATGATCTCGCACTGCGCCCGCATGTAGTTGTAGGTCTTGAGAGCAACCGCGGGACGCGCGATCGCGTGGTCGATGTGGTAGTCTCCGGCCTTCTTGCCGTTGAACGCCACGCGCGTCAGGATGGAGCCCGCTGGCCCCTCGGCAAGCACAGGTGTGACCACATCCTCGGACTTCATGCAGTGGCTGATGTCGTCGACGTTGTGGGCGCTCTCTTTCTGTGAGCACCCGTGCGGGCAGGAGAGCTTGATGAGACGCACGTGCACGCGGTGGCTTGCGGCCCAGGCGCCCGCCAATTCCTCGAGGGTCGGCCGCAGCAGCGAAGGCGGGGATCGAGCAAGATGACCACGATGGACAAGCCGCCCCGCAGCGAGGACCTCTGGCCATTCGGCAAGACCGAGGGGCACGTGCCGAAGGACATGATCTTGGCCCCCACGCGCATTCCCAGGAAGCCAGCGGCCCCCATCAAGAGTCGGACCCTCACGTTCGAGCCAACGTCTGCGTGCTCGGTGCCCCGCAGCTTCTTCTTCGCGATCGCGCTGTGCAGCAGCAACATGCAGACGACAAGCGCGAGGACACTCCGAACGCTGCCACGCAAACTCGCAAATGCCCACCGCCATGTCACGGCGGGCGCCCAGGTTGCCGGTGTAGTCGTCAACGCGGAAGTTGGCGCTGAATTGAGGTCTGCGCAGAACTGCTGTCACGTACGGGACGCACCACTCCATCCAGTCATTGTAGTTGTGGTAGCCAGCGCACATGAAGATTGGCGGGATCCATCTCTCCGCCCAAGCCGCAGTGCGCTCGTGTAGGTAGCTCGTGGAGTTCGTGGCGGCGTCGGCGGTGCTGGAAGTTGCTGGGCGTTGGGTGGGTTCAGAAGGAGGCGGCGCATGTTGCCGTCGAGGCTGCTGGGATCTACACTGAGGAAGGAGGTCGAGGAGGCGGAAGTCCCAGCAGCGGATACCATGCTTGAAGACGCTGCAGGGTGGTCTTGTGGAAGCCGCCGCGGTAGAGGACACGTTCGAGTTCCCGTCGAAACGCTGGCTGTGGTGACGCGTGCGACTTCTTGCGTCTGTCATCGCCTTCTTGAGCACGCGCGGCCCTGTCCCGACCGCGATGCGAAATAGCCATGCGGCTGGCGTCAGCAGCTCGATAACGCGCTGCTGAGAGTGTAGCCGTAGCGCGGAATACTGCGCCGAGCGATCGCGAAAAGGTTTTGTGCATGGAGCCCTTGCCCGCGTGGGATAAGTTGCCTTTGGTTTTGAAGTCGAACCGCTGGATAATCGAGATCTCGTCGAGGCAGCAGTCAGCGCCCCACACGCCGTCCAGGACTTGCGCCAGTGGGGGCGGCGCCCTGGATTCGAAAATAATCTGGAGCCCCCCCCCCCCCCCCCACCATTTGCCAGCAAAGTTATTCCATTGAGAGTCAAGTGTCGCACCAGGTCCGATGAACGCCCCCAAGTAACGGGCGCGGCTCTTGATCTCGAAGTCCTTCCAGGGGAGGTGGACGTTGGGAAGGATGGTCCGGGCGCGCGTGGCGTGGGCTGGGGTTGGGAGCGACCATGCGGGCACCAGGATGCACTTCTTGGCTTGCAGGCGGGGGCCAGCGAATGGTCGCGCGGCTTGTAGATGCGGTAAAAGGTGTTCGATGTCACGGAGCGCGGCAAGAATGATGCCGCGGTCGTCGGCGCAGGCTGGTGAGATGACCTTTATGATGGGGGCGAAGATGAGCGCCCACAACGCGCCACTCAGAGGGCAGCCATGGGCGACGCCAGACACAGCGATGAGCTGCAGTCGCAGGCTACCACCCAGCCCCAAGACGGCGACGGGCAACTGGTAGCACGCGCGGAGCAGCGCGAGGGATTGACCGTTGATGCCCCAGCGCGAGATAATCTCCCAGACCAACGCGTGTTTGAGGCTGGGGAAGGCCGCCGCGATGTCCACGCTTGCAAAGCAGGGCATGCGAACATCAGCCTGCTCAGAGATGCTCGTCTGCCAAGCGATGAAGTTGACCGTGATGAGGTTGTTCAGGAACTGCCTGCCGTTGACGAACCCTTGCTGCTCTTCCGCGGTATCAGCTGCGAGCATGTGGAGCTCGCGATTGGCGGCGGCAACAATGAACTTCGCAACGCTGTTCTTCTTGGCGAGCGAGCGAAGACAGTCGGGGCTTCTGGTGCAATCGCAGTTGCAGGGTGGTTCGTCGCCTTCGGGCAGCATGGCCAGCAGCGCGCGAATGACGTCGCGGGGGATTCGGCCGCCAGCAGTCATGGAGGACATGAGCTCGTGGAGTGCGCTGATGCTGCCCGGCGAGTGAACCCGCGCCCGATATGGAAGCCGGTCGGGCCCTGAAGCAGACTCGCTCGCGAGCTGAGCTACGGCCTTTAGATCAGCGAGGCCAGGTATGATAAGTGTTCTCTGTGGTTGCAGAGGGAAGACTCCATCGAGATGCGTCTGCATGCTGAGGATCTCAAAATGTTTGGCGGGGAAGACCTTGCTCCATTGGCTCTGGATTGCCGCTGCGCGTGCTCACCGGATCCGTGACGACGCGGTTGGAGTTGCCTGTAGAGATGCGGATGCCCGCCAGAACAAGCCTCTTGGAGAAAGGCTTCAACAGCTCTCCGCGCGGGCCAGCTCGTCGGGGGCGATGTCGCCACGTGTTACCGAGCTGTATATTCTGCTCCGCTTGTGCGGCGCGCGAGCGGGCAGCAGCTTCTTGGCGGCGATGATTGGCAATGGCAAGGTGGGCGCTGTCGAACTCGGTCGTGAAGGAGCCAGGGTCTGCTATGATGATCTTGTTGCCATCATATCCGGATGCGTCGGCGGCCCGCATTGGCGTCGCGTTTGAGGAGAGACGCGAGCTTTAGGTCCGGGTAACAGACGGCCCTGGTCAAGGCTCTGGATTCGCAGCACACGAAAGGTTTGTCATCCTTGAGCTCGGAGACCGGGATCGCGATAGAGGGTCGCGAGCCTTGCGCGCCGCCAGCATCACGATGCGCTTCGTTGCGCGCCATTTGCCGATGGGATCAAAATCTGAGAAGTCGATCATGGCAGTGAAGCGCTCGAAATTGAACTTGTAGTGCCTGGGCTCGAAGAAGTAAACGGGTCTGCCGCGCTCCGCGGCTGGGCGCTGAGAACGCGGGCGTAGCCGTAGATGCAAAGTTTCGCGGTCGCTGATCGGTTGTCCCTGACGTTCAACGGGTCGACCGTCGACAGCGAGGTGCGTCTCGAGATGCAGGGTATTGTGCGCGTTCGTGGAGATGAAACACCGATAAATCGCGACCTCGGTCATATTGGAGCCGCAGCTGTGGGCGGCGGCCTAAGCAGCGACCTCAATCATCTGCGAGAAGATCCACTTCTAGAAGACAGGCTGGCACATGTATCTGGTGGCTGTCAAAGCGCCGGCAGGCTGCCGCAAGCTCTCCGGGGGGGGTCTCGGAGACGTTGAAGTCGCCGACCAAGACGAGATTGCGCGTGTCAGGATTGTCAGCTATGCGCTGGTGGGCGGCGTTCCATTCAATCTGAAACCGAGGGCGGTCCTGCCCAGAAAGCTCGCGGTTGTGAAAATTGAAGATCGAAGTCTCGCGAAAGCGTTCAGCGTCAAGAACGCGGAGCTCGGCGATGCGCTTTGGGACAATCGAAGTGAATTCACGCAGCGGGTGCTGGTCAGCAGGAAGTGCGAGCTCAGCTCTGTCGTAGGGCATGAGGAACGCAACTCCACCGCCCGTCTCGGGGATCCCGCCGCCGCCCTGGTAGGCGGAGTGGAACGCCATGTACGCGCGCGAGGAACTGTCGACCAGGCGCTGCATGTCCGCGCAGTTCCGGAGCGCCTCCTGGAGCGCAATGACAGCTCTTCTGCGCATGCATGGCATGGCGAGCGACGAGTAGCCGATCGTCCCAAGAACGCCTGAGTGTTCCAGGACACGACGTTGAGGCCGTCCGACCGTGGCTTCAAGAATCAGGGCGACCATCGCGCGGGATGCCAGCAGATGCAGCTGCGTCAGACCATGACTTTTTGTAGGGCATCAGGAGTGGCGCCAGGAGTGACTTGAACGACGGCAGCTCCGTTGACGGATAGATGGCCCCCGCTGCGGTGCGTGCGAAGGTCGACGTCGGGATGCTTGGCCTGGAT